TCTTTTTTCTTGTTTGTTTGTTTTGGTTTTTACCTTCAATAAACGACCTTTGATATTTCCCGAGTCACCACGTACCCTTTTGGTTGGGGTCTGGGATATTCCCTAAGTGCGAACGCCCAATGTTCCGCCTGTTAAACACGTCACGTGCGTAAACCCCACTGCACGAGGTCAGTATATAAACAGGCAATGAATTGACGGTTAAAAATAGGTCGGAAATGTCCACTGGGTAATTTGTCTGCTGTGGTTTTACTTTGGCTATGTATCTTATCCAAGACAAAATCCATTTTACGAACACCACACTACGCATACAGAAAGAAAGAAAGAAAAAAAGAAAGAAGGGAAGAAAAAAGAAATAAAGAAATGAAAGAAAGAAAGAATAACAGAAAAGGAAGAAAGATAAATTCAAAGAAAGAAAGAAGAAAGAAAAGAAACAGAGAAAAAGAAAGAAAAAACAAACAAGGAAAAGTAAAGGAAGAAAAATGAAAGCAATAAAAAAGAAAAGAAGGAATAAAGAAAGAAAGAAACGAAAAAGAAAGAAAAGAAACAAAGAAAATAAAAAAGAAAGAAAGAAAAAGAAAAAAGAAAGAAAGAGAAAAGAAAGAAAGAAAAAGGAACAGCTAAGAAGGAAAGTAACAAGCAAATTAAAGAAAAGGAAGAAAAAAGAAATAAACACTCTAATAAAGAAAGAAACGAAAAAGAAAGGAAGAGACAAAGAAAAGAAAAAAGAAAGAAAGAAAAAGAACGAAACAGTAGAATGAAAAAAGAAAGAAACAAAAATAAAGAAACAAAAAAGGAAGAAAGAAAAAAGAAAGAAAAAGGAAGAAAAAAGAAACAATCAAGAAAGAACAAATAGAAAGAAAAGAATAGAAAAGAAAGAAAAGTGAAGAAAACGTACATACGACGACCGTTGGCGTTGATGACTCAAGAGCAAAGATATTTCCCGAAAAGTTTCACATAACATTTCATTTATCAATTTCGGTCTTAACCCGCGTATCAGGTGACCGAGAAACACACGTGAGCCTTTCAAACGTTTGCAAGTGCAATTACGAAATAAAATAACACGTTCTGAAAATAATACTTAATGAAAAAAAAAAAGGAAAGGAATACAAACAACGTCTGAACACTTGAATGGTGACGTATTGATTAAAAAAAAGTTAACTAAAATTGGGATGAGACATTGTCATTTTCCTACGTGTAACCTCTTAGGTGTAACACGTCCATGTGTCTGGTGTATTCACCAGTCCACTCGGACTCGGCTAACACTAAAATCGAACATTTTAAAAAATCATTTTGCCCCAACCTAAAAGGTAAAAGCCGCAGACACGCACGGGTTTACTGAGAGTGAAAGAATTCGAGAAAATAATTATTGAAGAGAGATAACTATAAAAAAAATTCAAGGTGATAGAAGATTACGATTGACATTGCATTTAAATTTTTTAAGATCATAGTTAACAGTAAAGCAAGAAAAAGAACTAGAGATGAAATTAGTAGAATACAACTTAGGTGGCCGAGTGGTTAGATCATAAGACTCGGGTTCGAATCCCACCATGGTCGATTTGTCGGGAAGGAGACTTCCTGATGTTATCGGACTGAAGTGGTCGATCCCAGCGTGTGGAACCTTTGGAAAGTGCCTGAAAAACAATACCACAGGTTGACCCAAGCCTTGTGAGTGAAATTGGGTAGACGGAACCCTTGGGTGCCGTCGATAGCTGTGCTAGCACAAAGTCACAAGTCATCGTGACCGAAGGGTTGAGCGTGCTGGTATTCTTCAAATTGTTGATCGCGCTAGATAACACGCTCCTTCCCAGAAACTGTAAATAAGGTCTGCTCAGCATAGTTGCAGTATAAACCACAGCTGGGCACTGTAGGTGTTGAATAAATACAAATGCGCCTGAGCAAGCGTCTGCGATAGGGATTGGCTAGCTGCCCTAGTAGACAGGTATCCTCGAATACGGTTTGACGCCTTTAGATTTCTTCCTTTGGGGTCATCTCAAAAGTAAGGTCTATGCAACACGTTTACATCAAGTAAAATGATGAGACCATGCTGCAAATCTGTTACTGCGCTTAAAATCGTGAAGCCACGTTATAGCAGTGGGATTGAAGCCGTGATGCCAGGTCAGCACTAATAACAGTGCAGATATATAGATCTTGGCTTTCTATCAACACCTGAAATGACAAAGAAATTATTTTTTTTATTCCTGAAGATATTAAGTCAGGCTGGTGTCAAGTAGATAAACATGGTGTTTATATTTAGGTCTGCATGTATTTCCCTTGGTATAACAGATAATAAAAGAGCAGGGTAAAAATGAAGACAGGTACAAGGAGACAGGAAATGACGATTGATGTTGCATTTAAATTGTTGAAGATCGAAGTTGACAAGAAGACAAGAAGAGAGTTCCATAATCGAGAATTGGGAGAGAAGAAACTACTAGCATAGAACTTACGGCTACATCTAGCTAGTTCAACAGTAAAACTATGAGGCCTAGCTGCCTATTACTTGCACTTAAATTTGTGAGGTCGAGGTATCAAAGAGGAAAGCTCAACAGCACAATTACCATGAAAATATTTAGCATGTTATTTAACCCATAGTTGGGAGTGGATATGGGTCTATACTTTTCTCATTAACGTAAAGGTGGAGAAACATACACGAAACATTAATTTATAATAGTAAAGGGTGTTCCAATAACTTGTACCGATTTTAATGTGAATTAAGTTTAAATGTCTAATGATTTTTCCTTTTCTTTCAGATTTAACAACTTAAGTCTTTGGAAATTCCAGCCATGGAAAGATTAGCAATTAAACAATGTGTTAAAGTTATCGAAGCTTATTATGAAAATGGATGTTCAAACAGAAATGCAATGAGAAGTTCCCAGGTCACATCATCTCTCGAAACAGCGAAGTCAATTGGCCACCACGATCGTGCGACTTGACGCCTTTAGATTTCTTCCTTTGGGGTCATTTCAAAAGTAAGGTCTATGTCAACAAGCCAACAGCAATTCAACAGCTGAAGGATGAGATAATAAGGCATATTGGTGAGATCGAGGAGCAATTATGCAGAGACATCATCAAATATTTCGACCATCGAGTGGAGGTGTGCCGCCGAAGCCTTGGCGGACATTTTAGTGATATTATTTTTCACACGTAATTGCCATGACTTAAATAACATGATTCAATAGAGAAATAAATTTTCACCAAAAACATTGATTTATTTACTGTTGACTTTGATCCGTCTTAATGAAACACCCTATGTATATGGTAATTAGTAAAGTTTTGTTAATGTACAGAGTTCGCCCCGAAATGTATACACATTTCAGGTAAGGAAAAACTTGTATAGATATTGTAATACTAAATCTATTTAGATGTCACAAGATTAATACAAGTTACCTTTGGGCTTTACAATCACAAGACATACTCAAAACGGTGGCCTTTAGGTTCTAGACATTTATTAGTACGGCAAACTAGTGCTTGGGCAATACTAGCCAAAGTGTCCAGTGGGATTGCTACACATGCATTTTATATTTCTTGTCTAAGGGCCGCCAATGTAGTCGGTTTTCTGTGATGCCCAACATCCCATATTTTGGCGGGCTCTGTATATTGCGGAATGATTCCTAAATAAGTTATATACTGGGTGTAACAGCAAAATTGTCCAAATAGTGTAACAGCAAAATTATCCAAATCGTGTAACAGCAAAATTGTCCAAATCGTGTAACAGCGAAAATGTTCAATTGTTAAATTTTGAATCGTTTTATCTTAGAAATGTTTAAAAAAATATCTTTTTTATAACACTATTAGACTCTACTTTTAGCAATACGAGTGTATAATTACCCCAAGCTTAACAAAAGGATCGATCATGAACGAAAATGGCATGTTCATCATTGATTAATCATAGCTAAGGATCGGAAGCTCATGAAGGATTGATATAAAGTTCAAATATATATATATATATATATATATATATATATATATATATATATATATATATATATTCCACGAAAATTTTCCAACTTATTCAAGATGATCTTCGCCCTCTGTAACCTTCTAACCTTCTGTCCTGGAACAACAGGGTGCCTCAAATATTTCACGTACGATTATATTTTCAAGTCTTTTTGCATTGCAGTTTGAACTGTCATAGCTGAAACTCCTCTCTCCCGTGCCAGACTTTTTATAGATTAAGTTGGATCTTTTCTAATTGATCTCTTTAGCTCCAAGTTGATATGATGATCCTTCTTCCTGTTGTTACAACCTGACCCAGTTTTCCTCTCTACTGTTCCGCCTTGTTTAAACTTATTCACCGTTCTCTTGATTGTTCTTGAATGGACGTTGAAGAAGGAAGCCGGAGTATGAATGTTGGTAACATTACTGAAGACCTGACTAATCTTTTTCGTATCACCATTGCTCAGTTGGGAAGATATAGTGAGGCTTAAATGATTTTAACCCGTTCTCTTTCTAGCTGAATAACTCAAAGGGATTTTCAGTGATTCTTACGACAGATGGTGACAAGATGGCTAAAAGTCCTATGAAAAAACCTGGAAGAAATAAGCTCAATTAGTTTAGTGTATTTTTTTTTTAGATATTAAACATTTTGTAGGATGGTCAATTATGCTGTTACACTATTTGGACAATTTTACTGTTACACTCGGTTTAAGCCTGGATTTTGCAGTGTGTGTCACTGAATCTTGCAGAAAAATTACCATGAAAATGTGTAAGAAGGAAAGCTACGTGACGGTGGTGAGAAAGTGACTGACAGGTTAGAACCGATAACGTTGCAGACTCCTTGAACATGCACCTGGGAGTGCATCAACTGAAAAGTAATAGTAAAAACAACGAAGATGGTGATACTAGTCAGGATGATTAGTAACACGATCAACAAAGAACCAATAATTACATGTCCAGGAATCCCTCGATTAGTGCGGCTAATATGTACATCGGTAACTATAAAAAAAATTGAATTACTATGGTTAAAGCGAAGAATGTTTTACTGCACTAATCGAGTATCATATATTCACTAATCGAATTTTGGTATATGTTGTAATGAATATGCATACACCTGGATCCCACCTCACAGTAATATGATTGGCTGGTGTCAGCTATAAATACAGACTGATGTGGAGGTACAAAGACAACGCCTATTGTCTTCGCCTATTACCTACGCCTATTGTCTACCACTACGACGAGGACCAGTGCATTACGGTTACCTGCTAGATTGTCCTACGCGGTTACGGTAGTCCAAAACCACTTCGCTACTCCGAACAAATATATCCCTTTCGGGACATATCAGTATATAAGACTTTTAGCGCACTAATCGAAAACACATTAATCGAATGCGCATTAATCAAGGGATATCTGTAAATGAAAGGGAATCAATACGATATAAGATGAAAGAAAATTTAATTAGCTTAATTAATTTTTAATTAAAAATGGTTAAGAATGTTTCATCAAATCAGGATTAATTAGTTTTTGTTTTGTTATATAACAATCATTTTATAAAATAATTTCATTTTTTATAAAAAAAATTTTCATTTTTTTTATATCAAGATAATATAACGGACCAATATAGCGGGCGCAGTATAAAAAAATTGCCCGTGAGTTAAACTTAAAAAATTACCCATTATTTATGCATAAAAAATTACCTATTATATAAATATAAACGGAAACAGACCTCTTTGTAAAAATAGTTTTAAATTTTGCATGTCTTTTGGATTTGTTTCATTTTTACAATGAAATTAAATATGGCGGCTCCAAAAAAAAAACGTGATCAATTTGTCTCCTTTAAAATGGCTGATATGAAGAATTGTGAGGTGAGTTAAAAACAATTGAATGGTCGCAGTATAACTGTTTTTAATGTGTGGACAAAGTTAGATTCTCACTTTAGTTTCATAAGTTCATGATTTTAAAGT